ATATATATATATATATATATATATATATATATATACAATTCTTATTAGTAGACTGTGAGTCAGCGTAGAGAGAGCCAAAAAAAACTGGAGAGGTGAATTCCCTGCCAAGTTACAATCCCTAAATTTTACAAAATTTGCCAAGTTGCCGCTTAATATACCTGTCTTTTCGGACCTGTGATTTAGCTTGTTCTCAAATAATTTAGCAACTTTTGCTCGTCAGATTTTTCATTTCCTGGTTTGTCATTTTAATGCATTCTTAGTATTTTAGTTTCATTAAAAATCATATAAATATAATAAAAATAAAATTCAATAAGAAAATTAAAAAAAAAAAGTTTTAAAATTTTTTTAAAAGACATTTTGTGCAGAACTTTTTGCTCTACAAAATATCAAACTTTGGAAATGGCAATTTTTTGGTATCAAGGGCTACAAGCTGGAGTGGAATGTAAAACTAAAAATTTCATTATTGTTGCAGTAAACTCAGTAACCCCATATATTTTACAGTGGCGAAACCATCCAGAGCCACTTCTGAGAGCGACGGCGGAAAGCTACAAGTATCCGGTATGCTTTAAACGTTTGAAAATTTGTTACCAAGGTTGTACCTTACCTTAATATTAACAAATTATTATTCTACAGAGTTGTAAGTGCTGCAGTCGTTGTGTATGAAAGCCCTTCACTCCAGCGATTTTTAATCTTCCTGTTTTATTCTTTCAAAACTGTGTAGCTAGTATAAATTTTGGCGTCGCAAAAAAGTCTAACAAGACACTGCTTTCCCTAGGTATCCGTTGAATAAAGTTTTTCTGAAAATTTTCTTTTTCCTGAAGAACTTCAGCAAATCTTTTCAAAAAAGAACAATAAGCCGAGCTCCTGTTCGCTTGTGCAACCAAAAGTTCAACGAGTACAAGATGGAGACCGTTCTTAATACAAGAAGTAGATAAATGCTAGAGTGAAGGTTACCTCTTACAACTCTGTAGAATAATGATTTATTATTATTATTATTATTATTATTATTATTATTATTATTATAAGTAAGGCACAACTTTGATAGCGAATTTTTAACGTTTTAAGCATATCGGATATTTGTAGCTGCCCGCTGCGGCCTTCAGAAGTGGTTCCAATTGTGAGATATATGAGACTACTGTAAAAATAGTGGGTCTTTTTCAGCTTTACATTCCATTCCGGTTCATAGCTCCAGATACCGAAAAATCGCAATCGTTAAATTGTGATATGTTGCAGAGCAAAACATTCCGCACGAAATACGTCTTTTTTATAAAATTTGAAACTTTGTTTTTTTTTTTTATCGTTCGTTTTAAATTTTATTTTTGTTGTACTCATGTGACTTTTAACATAGTAAAGATAATGAATACGCATTTCGGGAAGTAGCTAATCTACTGAACAGAAAATTGTCAAATTTTATTAAGTACAAGCTAAATTACAAGTCTGCAAAGGTAGGCATATCAAGCGGCAACCTGGCAAATTTTGCAACTTTTAGGGGGTATAACTTGGCGAGGAATTCACTTTTTCAGTATTTTTTGGCTTTCTCTACACAAGCTCACGGTCTACTAATAAGCAAAACTTAAAAAGAATCTGAAATATAAAGGGAAAAAAGTGTGCCGTTTGGTATGGAACTGCATATATATATTTCATTCATCATTAGCTTACTGTGAATGCTATGTCAGCATTATTTTTACATTTGCCTTCTACCTCCCAAATCTTTACTTATCATGCAATGCAACCTTACTCGCCTTTATCCTAAGCAGTTGTAAAAATCTATTCACAGCAGTGATTTAAAAAACCTCACTTGTTTCTGATAAACTTCAAAATATATATGTTACCTTTTTCTCTCTTAAACAAACTGGTGACTCGATCACCATTTCGTTCAATATTTTTCACAATTTATCATAAAATAAAGAACTCTTTCTACTGGAACTACCAGCCGTACCTCCAAACCTTTTGATTTTTTGCACTTTGTACCGTTCAGCGAGTTTACACTTTTTGCAGAACTACAATTATTTGCTAAATGGTTCTGTAGCTTGTGCAGCAGAGTGGTTCGCTTGCGATAGCTTATAATGAGTACAAAAACATGTGTTTGTACTGATGCTTACGGTGTTCAGTTAAAGTTGCAACTCTAAAGCATGTATTTGCAGATACTGTAATACTCAGCAGGAATGGTTTGAGACGGTCTTTAAATCATTCACATGATCATTTTACACCATAAGCACTTGGTCTCCTCTCAGAATCTACCAAAATTTCTCAAGTCTGTGGTCACTTTTTCGGCTCTCACAAGATTTTTCGACTTGTTGCCTTGACAAACCTAAGCTTCTGAAACGACTCTCCACAACGCACTTTGTTAGGCCAAGTCTTTCATAACAAAGCAACATGTATAAAGTACCCCATTAAACCACCCTTTACGCAGCACTTTAAATGTAATTTTCATTTTTTAAGCCGCAGTCTATAGGTAGGCCAAATAAAGAGCTCTACAAAAAAACTTTCAGGTCCACCGCCTAAACCACACTTTGCTTACTGAATAAAAGGCATGCAAGTAAAATTTAGAAATCAAGTGCAACAAGCAGAAAAAATTAATATTACGGTCTTCGTGTAATCAAAAGCACTTTCAGATGAAGCCCATTCAAATTATAATGGCGAATGTTTTTCTGGATGCAGTTTTCACTCGCAACCTACCAGTCGTCCTAGCGACACTGACTCCTCATATTTAGCAGCAAGTTTGGACGCGGTGGAACCTAATTACGGCCGAACTGTTCACTGTCCTTCCGAACAGGATATTTATAGAGAAATTGTTGCCGAATGTGCCCAATTTGATGAGCGTAAGGTAACTACTTTTTTGTAATAAAAGTATACCATCCACTTTATAGTATTAGAACAGCTTGTGAAATGCAGTGAATTCCACGCAAAACGAATTTTTGCCTTATCTATAAATAAATAGTTGTTAATACATGATTGCTTTATTTCAGGAATCGTTAGCGTCCCAATCCTTACCATCAGAAATGAACACAACAAATGAGGCCGCTCCGGAAAACGCTAGAACGACAGTATCCGAATTATCTCATCGTTTTCTAAGCGATAACTTGACAATTGAAGAATTTGTAAAGCTGGTTCTGGCTGTTATTAAAGAAAACAGCTTTTGTCCTTCAAAACACCGCAATCAAGAATCTTCAGAGGAAATTCTAAGGAAGAAACGACTTCAGGTAAATGCTAGCTCGATAACCATTTCTCAGTCTTTTTTTCTTTTGGCAGCACCAGCACTAAAGCTCAGACTGATATGCATCAACGTAACTTTCATCAACCTTCAACAAATTTAGAACAACGAAGCTGCGGCACGATATCGAAAACGCCAGAAAGAGCTCCGCGAAGAAACCGAAATTGAAGTACGGTTGCTGGAAAACAAAAACCAACAGCTTAAGGATCAAATTGAAGCTATGCAACGAGAAATTGAAATACTAAAACGTGAAGTGCTGCGAACAAGTCATCAATGACGCCTAGCCAAAAATTAATTTAACGTACACGCATTTCAGCTTAAGCGAAATTTTAAAAAAATTTTGAGCTCAAGCTTCAAATGTTTAATATATCTATGAATTTCAATCCTTCTGATACTGTCAACCACTGTTAGCTTTTGTCGCTTAGGATCTTACAGATCTTCATGTCAGTAAATAATGTCTACAATATAGCTAAATTTCTCGCTTAAATCTTCAAGTAACTTTAAAACACATAGATGTGGTCAAGACATTACGACAAAAAAATATATATTATTTACAGTGATAAACATTTTTTCCGAAAGTTTAAATTGCAGTAAAGCAAAAAATGCAAATTTTACCACAAAAAACTGTAATCTGCAACGATATATAAAAAGACACAAAAAAAAGTTTAGAGAGAAATGAAAAAGGACAAGAAAAACTAGTAAATAAGATGAAGTAGAAATAGTTGTACAAAAAAAAAGAAAAAAAAAGAAACTAGAAGAATGATTTATCATCATAAAACGATATGGACAGGCAACAAATCGGCGGTCACAAGGTAAGTAAGTACTGAAAAAAGAAAAAAAAAATGTGTCACCAGTGGTTACAGTAACTGTCAATGATATTTTTTTGCTCTTCCATGTCAATCAGTAAAGAAATTGAAATTTCCAAACCTTCCTTCTTTCTTTTTCTAACCCACTTATGAGTTTTTTTTTCATCTGCACTGCCAATAATTCCCCCGACATCAATAAACCATAAAGAAGTGATTTATGTAATAGTTACCAGTTGTAGCTGTGGTAATAAAATAGCAAGACAAAAGAAAAAAACACATGTTAAATCTCAAAACCCTATTGTTTAGTAAAACGGTTAATGTAATGAGAATAATCGAGAAAAAAAGAAAGGCTGTAAAAAATTTCCCTCAACTTTGTCCTCCTTTATCTTTTTCCCTCTCCCAATAGATTTATCGTTTTTCAACTGGTGTAATTCAACTGGTGTCATTTCTGTAACACTGTTCACGGCAACACTTGGATGCAAAGGAATTGGAAGAAAAAATAAACGATAACATAAAAAAAATTCATGAAAAGTTTAAGGCAAGATTATGAAAAAAATGAAGGCGACGACAATAATAAAGGTTACAAAAAAAAATAGAACTAAATGATAATATAATGATTAATACAGTCTATTGAGTAACAATATATAACGATCGATATTAAAACTTCCAAAAATGTTAAGTAAAGATGAAACGAACCAACAATGATAAATGTAATTAAAAAAGAGATCCATAGTCTGATATGAAATGACAAGCGAGGTTTCAAAGCACCGTTAATTAACAGGGAAAAAAAACAAAAGAAAATGAAACAAAACACCTAAAAATAAAAACAAAAGTAGTAATAATCGGAACCGGCAGAAAGTTCAGGCAAGTGAAAGTATCAAAATAAGGCAAGAATTCAGATTCCTGTGTTCGTATAAAAAAAAAAAGGCATATACAAATAATAACGAAAAAACGTATAGTATGCATTCCTAAGACAATTAAAAACTGCTGCTGCCGCTGTTGTTGCTGCTGATGATGATTTGAAGACGACGACGATGGTGGTGGTGGTGATTATAACTTCTATGTCTGCGCACAAAAAAGTTACCATCTCATGAAAGCAAAAATTGAAGTTTGACTTCAGCCAAAAAAGGTCACAAAATGAAACTTAAATAAGAGAAAACAGGACTCCCATCACTAACTTATGACGCTTTAAAACAATGTTATGCTACGGCCTGAATGGCTGAACGTCAGTATGAAGGGAGATGAGAAGTGACTGACAAAGGCAACAACAACAATCTGTAAAGCTGTTTGAAATATGCTTAAACATTTTAAATACATTATGACGACTAATAAGTAGAGAAAAAAAAAGAAAAGAAATTAATCCTATTTTACAGAAAAATTCAAAACTACTGTAAACACACTTGTTTCCATTCTTATGTCCTGCTTTGTCTTTGTTTGCTATGAAACAACGTGGAAAAGATTATAAATACAGGAAGAACAACTAAAAAAAGAAACAAAAAAATATAACTCACCGTTAAGAATACCTACAAAAAAATGGGTAATAGGAACTTTCCTCTCCTCCTTCTGATTGATGACGCATCCAAACAACAACTACAGCAGTGATTCTAATCTATCGAGACGAACAACACAAAAAAAAAAAAAATAAACATAAGAGGAGAGAAAAAAACCATAAAATGCCGATAATGTACTGAATGAAAGGCAACATTTCTGAGGCCAAACAGGATAAAACTAACCAAAAAAAAAAGTTTGAATTTAAACAATATTTTCAAATTTAGCAGACAATCAAATACAAGTTTGAAAAAGGCGAATAAAGGAATAAAACTAAAAAACAGTTGTCAATCAAAAAAGACAAATGAAAATATCGATGTCATTAGGTAGACTGATATTGTATTTCTTCGCAATGTGTGCGTCCATTCGTGTGGACAAAACCTTACAGAACTGCCTAAAAGGCAGACTTTTGGTCTGATACTGTAAAAATTTAGACTATATGTAACATTTTTGGGACATATTTTTCTTCTATTTTTCGAAAAAAAAAATGACAAAACAAGTTTTCAAAAATAGGGATAACTGTTTCAAAAGGAAAAGAACAAAAACACGAAGTAAAAGTCAAAGAATAAGTGGGATAACGTTTACGGGACTTAACAGACTCTCTATGTATACAAATGTATTGCATAATTGTAAAAACAAAAAGAAAGCCACTATTTGTAGTGGAAAAAGAAAGTTTCTTTTTCCTCTATTTCTTCCTCCAGCTTTGTCTTCTTTCTTTTCTTCAGATAGAATGAATATGCGCATTGAGATCCGACAAAAATTGAGTTTCGTCTGTTGAAAACGGTACAAACGATGGAAAGGGGCAGGTACTGTGATGGGTGTGGATGGCGTCCAAGTTCTTTTGGACAAAATCAACACAAGCAGCCAAATCCTTAGACCGAGGAGGTGATTTGAGGGAATCTGGTAAATCGCGACATACTTCCAAATGTTGCACTACTGTGTGGCAACGAGTAACAATGTCAATCAATTCCGCCTGAAATATGGCACACGCATGATTGAAAAAAAGTGAAAAAAATCTGGGATGAATGGGGTAGAAACTCGCAAAAATAAATTGAATTTTTTTAAAGATGCCAAAACCTGTCTTTTTTTTGTTTAAAACAGTCTCCTAAAATTTCAGTTTAAATGCAACGTCAATTTTGAAGAAATTATAACTCATAAAAAGTTTCCTCTCCCAGGCAAGATCAGTAACCAACGGTGCTCACAAAAATTTTCACATCAAATTTGTAGTCAATAACGCTTTGAAAATGTTCTTAAACCAGCAGGCTTCGTGTTCTAACGAGCATAGAGCTAACACGCGGCTAAGACACTTGCATTCATCCTCATGGTCTCAAAACAATTTTCCATGAAGACCCTTAGTACTACTATTTTACTTGACAGTTTGATCAAGTAACATTGGAAGCGAAATTGCACTGGTATCAAGGTCCTTCAGGCCGCTAAAGATAACTGCACAACTCGAAAAATAAGGTGGATGAACCTGTGGAAAAACGTATTTTCCAATGTGTTCAAGAAAAGCTGTAATTCGTGCTGGTAATGCCGAATCAACATCTGCTGGATTCGAAGGAGCTTCTTCTTCGCCAAGTTGGATACTATGTGAGAAACTTTGCGATATGTTTTGCGCACAACGGATCGAATTCATAACTACACGCTCCAAATCACTCTTAAACTTCTGATTAACAAATAACATAATTCTTCCATTCCTTACAATAAATACTCTACAGTTTATATTTTCAAAATTAAAAATCAATTTTGTTAAGTTTATATGCAAAATTTCAAAATTTTTCCTGTCAGCAACGATCTGCAAATAAGCAGCTAAAAATGACAAAAATAGATAACCAGAGAAAAAAACACTATAATCAGTCGAAACTTGATGACTTATGTCGAAATTAAGCAGTTGAAAATAAAAGCATTTTTTTCAGAAGAAATTTCTACATGTAGCTTCTACATGAAAAAAGTCACAGTTAACACATCTCAACAGATTTATAGAAACGATAATTAAATTAAAATTAGAGACCGGATTTGCCGCATAAAAAAACACGAATTTCCACCTGTTCAGGTGCAAAGCTTGGCGCACTCGACGTCAGTATATTAGCTTCTGGGCAAAATCCTGGTAGCTGAGCTTTAGCTGCTTCTCGAGCCGCCCTAAGAAACCTCAAACAAAACGAAAAACCTTTAGATCATTCAACTTGCAACGCAACTACATCTAATGACATTTTAATTTTAATGTCACTGCATTTCTAAAAGAGGTGTTAGAAAAGCTGGCCAGCAAGTGTTACTTCTTGGTGGTAAAAAAAATCTTTTCTTCTAGAAAACTATTTAGAAACGTTGAACTTGAAACTATCCCTGCCAGTTCGAATATTGAAAAGATATCTATCACATATAAAAATGCAATACCTATTCTGTAATAGTTCTTGCTGCAACATAGTGAAATCCGCTCTGAGCTGTCCAATTAGCTCAGGTATAATAGTCTTCTGGAAAGTATCACCCGTTGGCATGCAGTACCGTGGTTGAAGCAGCCTCATCAAACCGCGGAATCCTGCTCGATCAACGACCGATGGCGTCTCCCCATCCAACAACATCATTAATCCAATCTAGACAGAAAATTGCGTTGTACGAAAAATGCTTATACGAAAAGTGGTCACGCCAAGCCACTATAAACCTGATTAGTGATTTTTTTCGCTTCTGGATGATCGTCTGGCCAAACACCTTCCTTTGCTTTCTTGCTTTTTTCTGGGGTTAGACTGGCATGCGTGAATTCATTACCACTTGACCTTCGAGAAGTAGACAGATCAATTGCACTACAGTCCTCATATTTAATCTTTTTCAACGCAGGTCCCTCCGCTTGCGGGACAGAACATGACTGAGAATTGGAGGCCAAGGGGGACTGAAACCAAGTCGTAACCATCAATCAACCTACGGTCTTTATTTGACCAAAGTAATACGGTACAATAACTGATGCTTTGAAAACGAAAATCATCCAAAATAAAGAATAATACCTGAAAGTGGTTAGCTATAATACTGTTTATAGAATGGACAGTCAATTTTGGTTTCTGCATATCAATTTGTTGCTTATCCAACACAGCACGAGCTTTTTCCTCTAAAAATGGCCATGCAATTATTAATTCAGTCAGTTTGTTGTTGAAAATAAAATTCTGTCAAAAATTAACATCAAAATCTCAATGTCTTTCTGCAGCTTACCTTGTTTTGCTACCAGTCCACTTTGTCGTGCTTCTTGAAGCAACTTATATTCATTAACGTGGCAACTACGCAAATGTCGAATCATCCCGGTAGTACTAAAACTTGACCTTCCGTTTAAACATAACGTTTAACAATCCTTGCAAAAACGAAAAACCAATTTATACAGAAATTAGCAACTAACAAATTTAACTTGAAATTTGAATATAGCCAATATGAAACCACACCTCCAAAAAAAAAAAAAAAAAAAAAAAAAAAAAA